CTCTGCTGCTCCAAAACACTGTTTTGGCTGCTCCAAAAGCCACTTTTGCTGCTCCAAAACACTGTCTTGGCTGCTGCAAAGGCCACTTTTGCTGCTCCAAAACACTGTTTTGGCTGCTCCGAAAGGTGCTCCAAAACGGGTTAGGCCAATCGCATCACCGCAGTTGTGAAACCTTCAAGGTAATAGTGAAAAAAAGATATTATGTAAGGCCTGTTTACACATACAACCACAGCTCTACATTAGGGCTATTAGTCAAGACCTGGGAATACAGTGTAGACCGCATATAACGTAAAACGCGGGAGTCGCGAAAATCTGCACTATAAGCGGTACCGCGTTATAACGAAAACATCAATTTTTCAGGCCAAAATACATGCCATAAGACAACTTACCTTAAAAAAAAAAAATTTATTTTATGTTAGTCGAAGAGGAGTCTTTATTTCACCAGACTAGTACACTTCTCTTTTAAGTGTGTCAATTTTGAAAGAAATGAGCGACTTTTGCCTGGCGCAGCCTTTTAACGGCGTCGCTGGTTGCGGACGGACGTTGCAAGCGTTAGAATTGCTAACCCTAATCACTTTTTTCCGGTGATGAAGACGCGTGAAAATTAGCATCCTTTATACGGTACGCGCCAGTAATACCTTCAACTTTAGCACAGGCGTGAAATGCTCCAGATAAGAAATCCGGGCGATGTTCAAAAACACAAATGCTTAGAAAGCACCACTGTAGTCGAAGTAAACAAACACAACGACACGGGCGTTTCTGCCGTCTTGAGAGTGCCGCCACGACATTGCCGCACGAGTAGGTGGATCTCCCCTTCTAGTACGTGCTGGGTTATCATAGCGGCACACAACAAAAATTCACAGTAAAGGATAGTGCTTTTGCGTGGAACGATCGCAACCGACGCCATGTTTGCGGATAGATGCCGGCCCGCGACTGACATGCAACGCGCTCTAACAGTTCTCCCCAACCTGCAATTGGTCTGTCGTTGCGGTTGTTTCCAACGCACGCACGTGAGCGACACGTGCGTGCATCCCTTCGTCGGTATGGCAACTGAAGCCTCTCTCTTCGCTTCTTGGAGCCACGACTTCGAGCAACCTCTTTGCCCCGCGAGTGCCGCTTGCGGCTAGCCAGGCTAGCGCCATTATCTAGTGTCGCACAGGGAAGCGTGCTGGCTGCGCAGGGCAATCGGCGCGCTGTTCCAGAAACCGCACTATAACCAGTATTTCCCTTCGCGCCTGCATTTTAAGTGGTATGTAATTACATGGAGTTCTATGGGAGGCGAACCGGTGGTTTAAATAAAAAAGTCGCGTTATACCCGGTCCTGCACTATAAGTGGTTACGTTATAAGTAGTCTATACTGTAATGCTGATCTTGTTTATGCAGTCTTACATTTGTCCTACACCAGTGATACAGTGGTGAATTAGTGCTAAATTAGGTTCATCAGCTCTGTGCTGTACATGTGTACCAGCCTCTAAAAAAAATTTTTTTTGTTCATGTTAAATTTGTTTTTTACCTGCGTGTCCCTCCTACATTTTCTTTTTTGAAGGTCCCTTTTAAGTTAAAGGGACACTGACAGCCCCCAAAATTTTTTTTTATTTTTTGCCAGGCACTTCATTATGGTGTCGGAGGACTACCCAATTAATATTTTGCAACAGAGTAGCGTATTTGTTTAATGTAGCCAAAAGACGCAACTGCTCGAAATCGAAACCGAAACCCGACGGAGGTCGGAGAAGTGGAGAGAAGAGAGTGAGTGGCGGAAGTCACGTGGCTACACCCGACCGTGCGTTTTTGTTTTTGTTTTCTCCTCTCCATAGCAGACGACACGACATGCGGTGTGCTATGCGGCGTGCGGGAACTGCTCGCCGTGCGATTCTTTTGCAGTTATGTTTGTTCCGCTCGTTGTTTTGTACTCCAAGATGAGTTGTTTTGTACATTGAGGAGTTGGAGGATGAGTAGTAGGTGCCCGTGGTGAATTTCCATGATCGGCTCCGAAAAGAATACACCCAAGATGTTGCGTGAAGAGCTGGCTCACATGTCCTGCATCCGAAAAAAAGTGGCATTGTGCGACAGAGTTTCCGAAAGATCAACGGGATCGGGACCAATGGCTGGCTGAAATTCCTGTAGAACATATACGGGCACCTCGGAAAGCGGACGCTACCTGATTTATATGCTCCTCGTATTTTGTGGAAAGTGATTACATTGAGTTCGCAGGTGTCAAAACGGAAATCCCATACCATTTAATTAAGCGAAGTATCGTCCACAACTTTTGTTTGTTTCTTCAGTGATGATTGTAAAAAAAAAAGAAAAAGATATGTAAACATCGGAAAATGTAAAAAAAAAAAAAAATAGAGCTACACGAGGGATCGATCCCAGACCTAACGCGTGTGAACCGGACGTCTTTCCCACTGAGCTACTGGCACATCTCACTTCTGGTGGATCTCTTTTCTTAGTAATAATTCAGCCGGTAAACTGTAAGTTGGAAAGTTTGCTGTCGATTTTTCTCTAGCAAAAGCACTCCCGGGTCGAAGTCGGGAAGCACCACGCTTTGGGGACATTCGCACGTAGTAAAGAAATCGTACGCGTGCATATTCAACTCGAAGTAGACACGTCGTGCTTGACGTTTGCGCGAGCGATGTCTTCAGCCACGAGAAGGGAGCGACGGCTCGGCGACGTCTTCGTGCAAATCTGCTTGGTGGCCGGGCGTGTCGTACGGGATGAATACCAATTCTTTTGATCAGTCCCAAATTTCTCTTTTAACGGTAGACAGAATTCGCCGGTACCGCAAACGACAGTTCTGAAATAGAGGTCCCATGCCCGTCGTCCGCTGCCATCGCCGTCCCCGCGAGTCCCACGATACGCGAAACGACGAACGCACAGAATGCTTCCGGTTGTCTGTGGAACTTTTTTTATCAATCAACGTATTTACAGCTTTTTAGAAGCCACAAAAAATGGGTTTCATATTTTTTTTCTATTTTTAATATTGAGTGTGTGCCTTCAGTGACCCACGACTTTGATTAAATTTGGTGGTCGCATCGATACCTTAGAAAACGGCCCGTGACCGCGGAAAGGAGAGTGAGCGAGACTCGAACCGGCCAGTTCTTGATCGGCGGTTTTTGGGCGGAAAGAAACCGAATTTTGAGCCGCAAATTCTGTCCTGGGTAGTTGAGCTCTCATATGTCACGTACAACTAAAAACCTTGGCGAGCATAAATACCCTGTCAGTGTCCCTTTAAAAAATAAAAAAAAGTGTGCGAGGAAAGGCGGTCACTCTTTGCAGGGAAGCACTGGTATATGCGTGGTAAGACGCGATTACACGACTGGGGCTTCTACTTTTTTGTGGCTTGTACGTTTTGAGTTTCCTTTGCCCAAAGAATGTTTTCCACTCTTTTCGTGCCAGACAAGAACACACTTTCCCAAGGCAATTGATGCCCCTACATTCTTTATTTTTTGTAGGGACAGCAGGTTTGGTGACGCAGAACACTCTAAACCAATCTCTGATAAGACTCAGGTCTTAGTGTAAAGAAATATTTTCTCCCAAATTGGCACTCCTTTTCTGAGAGAGTAATTTTTTTCCTGCCAAACATTCCATAATGCACTTTGTAGAATTACTCACTTATTCCCTTCGCTCTGCGATAACTCACGCTTGAGAGCCCCCTCGACAAAAATATAGATCCGGACCCACGGATATCCGCGCCTGTAGCCCATGACATCTGCATCCAATTCACAATCCGCCAAATCTAATTTATTTTTATCCGCACCTGCCAGTTCACTGGGCATAACCGTGGGTAGTTCTTGGGCATTTGGCGCATCCGCAGTGCTTTACTCATGAAACTTCAGTACCCCCCCCCTCCCCCTTGGAAGTTTAGACCGTATGCAGTGGAACATTCATTATACAACATTTATGGGAACGCGCGAAAGTGTCAAATAATGAACCCGGAGTCGTATTACCCAAAACGACAATAATTACAGCACTTTGACAAACCTGCGCTAAATTATAGTAAAATGCAGGACGTTGAATAAACTGGAAATGCATAATCAAGGTTCCACGCGATATGCAGTTTCATGGGCAATTTTATTTTGCCTATTACTGGTGCGATGACTTACACCAGAACATGCACCCATACTGTAAGTGGAAAGTAGCGTATTATTACACAGCGTACTGTGCTAATTAATATTGGGAGGGGTGAGTGGGGACGTAAATTATTTTTGGCTGTGCTACTGTACCTCTTTACAAGATCTAGTGTGCCTTGTGTGGACTTTCAGAAAATGGGTCTATTGATGCAGCAATGCAATTGGAACCGTTCAATATTTTTTGGTGTTATAGGGACTGGATCTGTTTATGTTATGCCTCTGTGGTTGCAGCCTGTAGAAGGGGGTGGATGCAAGCTGAGTGATATAGCCCTCAATATGATAGAGATTCAAGTTTTAGGGCTGTAGGCTGTGGAATAAGCATTGCCAAAAAACCTCAAACGAGGAAAATGACTTTAGCGTTGACAAGGAGGCTGTCATGTTACTAACATGCTGCGCAATGATACGTAAGGTGGAGCAAGCTGCGTGGCTCGGACAACCTGAAATTGTGCAATGTCTCTTAAGAGTGAGCTCCTGTGATTAATTTCAACCAGACGAGACATATATATGTACCTAGCAGAGCTTGCATTCAAATTTGCCACTTGACAGAGGCACGTGATTGTTTATGTCGTTTGCACGGAAATTGACTGAATATCATATTCAATCTTGGTTCGTACATAACATGCTTAACTGCATGAAGCAAGTGATAGATGTAAGGGACATACTTTAAACCTACTTTAGGTGGACAACATCTCTGTACAGCATCTGCTCTCTTCCCCATATTACAACTAATGCACAGAGTATATAGAATGTGCACTAAAGCACAGGTTACATTGATATTCTTGACAGGCATTAGATACCCAGAGGTTTGATTTTTTTCTTTGGTGTTCTGCGTGCAGGCAATTAATTGTGTGTTTTTTTGTTTTTTTCTAGAAGCCGTGGTCGCAAGGCACCCATGACATTGAAGTCTTCCAAACAAGGCACTATGAAGGCATGACTTGTAGCGGCACTGGAGCAAGCGACACGGTCCGGGTGAGCCGCAAGTGTAACTGTTACACTGTAAACAGGAAATATAGACATGTGTCCGACAAAGCACAGACTCATAAAACTTTCATGTAGCAATAATAGTTTAATTTAACTAAACAGTGCATCAACAGAGCCTGACCCAAGAATGGGGAATTGGGGAACCGGCCAATGTGTAGAGTCTAACAGAAACAAGGAAGGCGATAAAAACAAATGGGGCAACATGTTAAGATAGGACAATAATGTCGTGCCTATTTTTTGTTTTCAATTAAGATTTTATAGGAGCTAGCAAAATATGTCCTTGCAATGGAATAGACCTACTTTTACAAAAAGACCTTCAATGTTTTTGTTAAAATAAATTGCGTCTGAGGAGGTGGAAATATGATTTTCCCAATTGCGCATTAACATATCTTTGAGCTCCACAGGGTAATAAAACATCCCGAAACGTAAATATTTTTATGCATGCTCAGAAGTTTTTTTTAAATATAGAAAAAGTCAAACAATTTTTTTGTGAGAATTCAAAGATATTGTCATCCTCAATTTTTTTTTTTCATTTTCGTTATTGAACACTTAGAAACATGTAATTCAGAATCCACCACCAAGACCTGTTGTATTCTATTGTCTTAAAATAAAGAAACAACGGTTTTGCCGAGTCTGTTGCAGTCAATTTCTGTTGGAGGTGCTGTGTCTCAACAACTAGTGGTTACTCGAGCACCGTATCCACAGTGGCCATAGTTGGTCGCATTATCTCCCAGGCACCACAAAGCATCATACAAAAAAATGTTTTTTTATTTATATTTTTTTTTATCTGTGATGTGTCTGGTAGTGCCTATGGAAACTGAACTTTGTGGTGCATCAGTCCTCGGGGTGCTGTGCTTGGTTGGTTGCTCTCAACTGTGCTAATTTCTCGAAGTAGTATTTTAGTGCATGTAGGGAGTTGACAAAATGATTCAAATAATTTATCTAGAAGTCACTATACTCCGTTTGTAAGTGCAATGGATTGTAGCGGCCGTTGCCAGCTGTCTCGGGCAACTTAGCGCATCAAGTGACAACGCATCACAGCGCCTCTCTCCGAGGTCACTACATTGAGTTGACTTGTGTGGCCTGTAGCATGGTCTGTGTTGTATTGTAAGGTATAACGAACATATGAACAGGAAACATTATGAATTTTATGCCCCAATTGATGGCGGGCATGGCGAGGGTAAAACAATAGCAGGCTGTGTCTAAAAAGAAAATGATAAATGGACGAAGAAGCAGAAAGCTAGGCAGTGTCATTGGAGCAACATCATGCCTTCGCGCAAGTGGTGACTCTGGTATTTGTAATACCGTTGCACACTGGCTGATGTTTACACCACACAACTGAAGGCTGAACTCTCTTAACACCATGGTATTGGGTCATTTCAGATGAAACTGAGTAGTAGGTAAATGGTTGACATTTTTTTATTTGCTTGATATTTTATATGTCATTCCCTAAATTATAGTTTACACCAGTTCATATTTACAAACTGTAGCGCCACTGGCGCCGCGCATGCGCGATGGAGTGTGGGCGAGAAGCTCGCCGTCGCCCATAAACAAACCATTGGAATGCGATGTTGTCGTTGTCGGTGTGAGTCCCCCTGCCCTTTTTGGCGTTCGAATTGGTGATTCTACGTCGTTTTTGCGATGCCTGACTACTTGAGCGGCCTCAGGGAGATTACCGAGGCTCGTTACACCGCAAAACTTTGCGTGAATAATGTGGCATGCGGCGATTCATTCCGCGTGGACGCCGCAGAATGTACGCTAAAGCCTGATTCGCATGATGAGATTTCGCTCGCAATTTTCAGTCGCGAAGTCACTCGGGCTGCAACAGCGTGAACCGTAGCTGAGATGGTCGACGCCGATACTGAAAATCGCAAGCAGAATCGGACCAAGTGAATTAGGCATAACAAGTTGGTGATGGCCACTGGTAACAATGATGAACATCTTTTTGTATCTACTGTTTACATGAAGCCTGCTTACCAAGTTTCAAATTTAAGTCTTTTGAGGGCTGCACTTACTTCTTATCGCAAGTACGGCATCAACATTTGATGTTCGGGCCGGTGTCTTCTAAAAGAGCAGACAAGCAGAATTGTCTGAGACAGCAGACGATAGTTCGAATGATCAGGCGGCCGTTTGAACTTGAAGACGCACTGAACATAGTCATTATACAATGGTCGGTACAACATGACGGTTTTTTGGCATTCATGTGGGAACAAAAGAATAAATTGATGACCACCAGTATTCGTGAATTCAACCCGAAGTGCTTCCCGCCCAAGCAGATGTGGTCCGACGGCATCTGGTTTTCCCTTTTCACGGCACATATCCACGTTCTCGGACGAACCGAGCACATGAAAACTAACCTTCAAACCTTTCTAGACTCTTTTAGTACAGCCCCAGTCGTGATGTTTTGACGAGAAAGCGGGTTTTTGTCAGGTTCCTTTCAAAACAACGCAGGAATACACGTCTCGCACGGGGACTTCCGCCCACAGCCCCAGACCGGAATTGTGCCCGAAGCGCCACCACCGCACTGTGACGTAACAGAGATGAGTTTGTGTATGAAGGAATACAAAAAACACTTTTGGATAAAAAACTAAATTTCTAGACACAAAAAGGTGTAGATTATGAAAAGCTAGGTTGTCACTTGCATTCACGAGCATGACTGATGTGATCAAGTTTGATGTGAATACCTTAAGTAATAGTTTTAGGCAATTATAGGCTAGAGTACCCAAAAGCCTTGCGGAAGCAAAAATAGCGTCGTCACCAGTGCGCATGTGCCAAGCCTAGACCTTGTCTGGATTGGCGCATTACGACGATGCCATTTCTTTGAAACGCACAAATTTGGACACATTCTAAAACTTGCAATTAGAAGTTCATTAATTTTGAGAAACAATGTCTGGGTTAGGCAAAAGAGGCCTTGAGAACATACGTTCATCATTCATGCTCCTTTTTTTTTTTTCATACTTTATATTGAATACAAAATATTTGCCTATAACGAGCAGATTTAAAAATCCTCTTGACTAGAATATCTGCAACAACTTTCTTGTTCAGATGCCGCAGTTTATAAATATGAGGTACGTATTAAAATAAGGACTTAGGAGAGTACAAGTGAAATCTCGGCAGCAACCTGCAGGGTTTCTATTTAAGTATCGTACAGTAGTGGAAGGCTTGTAAAAACTATAACAATATTAAATTCAAAACTATTCAACAGAAAAAAATATTCACTTTAAATTCGTTTTGAACTCAAAATCCACTATACGTCAAACTCGTTTACATCAAACTCGCAAGAAAACGTCTGCCAGTTCGATATAGCGGGTTATTCAATTAGAAGTATTAATGAATTTGACTCTCAAAAATCCACTTTCTGCTGAAATATTACACAATGAAATAGTCTTGCATCTTCTGCTGCTTTTTCTTCATTGCATCCGCAATAACAATATTTTTCTACGCTATCGATGGACTCCGAAATTGAGGCCGCTGCCTTCTATATTCGCACATTAGGGCCGAACTATGCCGAGAGCACGGAGCACGTCCGAGCAGTAGCACCTGCAGAGCTTCCGTTTCGCTTTGCAAGTTGGCTTTCCCCTAAGGCAGGCAGCTGCGTTGGGGGAAAGCCAGCTAGCAGAGCAAGCTGGCTTTTTTTTTTTCCGGGCGGCCGCCTCAACCTTCTTGGAAGAAAAGGCAGTATTCTCTTTTGTGGACGGAGTGGGAAGAGGAACCATGGAGCGCCCTCCCCCTGCTCCCTGCGCAAAAGAGATTTTTTTTTTTGTTCCGGGCGGTCGACCAACACCTTCCAGAAGAGAAGGCCGTAGCGCTCCTCTCGTGACGTCTCAAATGAAGGCCATCGGGGGCGCACGTCGAAGCGAAGGCAACGCGCGTGGGTCGATTGTTGTAACGCGGTTTTAGTCACATAAGCGTGATTTGTTAGCTAAAATGAAAGCTGCCCATAACAATGGGTCTAGAAAACATTGTATTTCACGGGCAAAGCATTACATCGCTAAATAATCGGTACAAAATGGCACGAAGTATGCGTATAAGACGCCTATACAAAGTGATTGTTTTAAGTTGAAAACATTGAGTCACGCAATTGTTGTAGGAATGCATAATTTATACAGAAACGCTTCAACAAAATTGTGAGACACGCAGTGAGTGGACACAGCAAAACAGATCAGTTAAAGATCAGGTGGACGTAGTCAACGTGGACACAGCTAGAGAAGGGTCACTTACAATCATGTAAACAAAATATAACTTCTTTTGTATACAATAATACTATTGCCGTAATACAGTTAAGGTCCTGGTATAAATGCGGTAAAGGCAATAAAATGACATTAGTATCAGCAAACACGAAACCACAAAAAATGCATTTTGTATGATCGCACAAACTTGTCATTCACCTTCCAGTGAAAACTAGAATGTTACAACGCATATTTACAAATGTCGACGCCACTGTACACGGATAGCGACAAAGAACAAAATTCCACTCTATCACAAAATTTTAAAAGAAAGACTGCAGCACTTACTTGCGTCCCACATGACCAAGAAAGCCCGTAAATAAGTTGTTTCTCACCTGTCGATCGTATCCATATGTCCCACAATATCTGGCACGAAAACATTTGAAGACAAGCTCCAAGAAGTCCCTCTTAGTCGAGATCTCGAGAGGTCTATCGATAATCAACCAGTGTCATTGTTGGCTAGTTTCCACACACGTCACTCAAACAGTAGCAGGACTTGTTCCGCGAATCCACGTAAATGCCGTAGTATCAAGCGAACACAAAAACTACCCGAGACTGCGGTGACGACAGAAAAACGTCGGGAACAAGGATCAAAAGAACCTCACACGAGAGCAGCGGAGCAGTGTGGGAGGCTTAACGTTGTCGGCCCATCTCTTGCTCGTGTGCGCTCCCCGTGGCGATGACTTGATTTTTTTCCATTCTCTTCCCTTCTGAAAGTCCCAGCGTTCCTTTTCAGACAGTCTGCAGCTCGCACACAACATACATTTACCAGAATCGGAGCCGTTGGAGGGAAGATGAAAATGTCTCACCGAACTGGTTCATTCGAAAGTTGTGGGGAGCTGCGGGACTGCACATAGTCCCGCGGTTATAGGGGTAATCATGAATATAAAATTGGTACTTTCAACCTTGGTAGCACATTGTATATTACATTTATATTATATATATATAATAAATTGTACAAGACAGCACTTTTAAGACATATTAATGTCGGATAAACGCGCACAAACCCCACCGTGCCGCTTGACAAGAAAAATGTTTTTCACGACGATGTGATATTTTTTTTTTATGTAGTTGCACCATGGCCTTCCTTCTCCGACATTGTGATGTAACCACTCGGAGCGCTACGGCCTTCTTTCTTAGAGGTGTTAAGTCAATGCGTCCGCCCACAAAAAAGAAGCCAGCGTGCTCTTCAAGCTGGCTTTCCCCCAATGCGGCCGCAAACATTGGGGGAAAGCAAGCTTGCAGAGCAAAACGGCACTCTTGGCAGTTCGATGTATCGGTAGTGGCTGCTATTTTTGTTCAATGTAACCGTAATTGTTGATATATATTATCGCTGTAACATTACTGTGCACAAAAGTTTTTCAATATAA